CATTAAACAGAGGTGGAGGCCTCCGTTTTCAGTTGTCCTCCTCCTACAACGCTGTTATTGCAGGTATGACTCCGCCCCCTGTGAGCAAAAGGTGTGAATCAGGGCCCCAATGATAGTCAGGTGATGGGTCACATGACCCTCTATGAACAATAGAACTAATCAAGCCTATTGTTAGGTGATGGTCCTCTTTTCCATGTGACTAACCTGTTTGTCCACCACATGGAGGCGGAGCTTATAAGGCTGAGTTCACCTGAAACTCATCAGACTGAAGAAGTCTCTTGGAGGAGATGAAACGTTTCACTGAAGAACCATCCAGAGGAACTACTGATTTTTTCTTCTTGATTTTTCTACCTGGATTACTGAGATCATCAGGACACCTGAAAATTTAATATTTTTTTTATAATCTCCAGACGGGTCTGAACCTAAAACCAACCAGAACCAACAGGATGATTACTTTTATTCTCTCTCTAAAGTGTTTCTACACGTTTGTAAAATAAAATATTCACAGTTAGGATTAATTTTAGTTCAAATACTCACGAGCCCATTTCAAGTAGGGGTCTCTGCGAGTGGGCGTGTCACAAGGAAAACGATTCTAAAGCGACACACCTGATTTGACTGACTTTTTAAAGAGACACACCTGATTGGACAAGAACAAAAGGGGCGTTACTGTACGGCACCACTTTTTCTGGAGACCCCTACTTGGTCGACCTTAGTGTTGGGGTCAGGGTCAGGCTGTAAAGAGGTCAATCTGAGGATACCGTCATGTAGGCCTCGTAGACCACAGTCTTTATGCTTTAGACACGCCCACTCTTGTGACACGCCCACTTTGACTCTGCAGAAAACCCCTTCTCTCCAGTTTTTATTTTGAAATTCAGTGAAGTAGCTCTGATACTTTTATTTTGTCACGGCTGTGACCGGAAGACGTCATGTTGTGTTCCGCTTCACTGAGCGGAAGTTTGTCCGGGTTTAACTTCCTGGAAATAAACATCAAAGCGAACTGATCGGTACTGATCTGTAACTGATTAGACATCAGTCACGAGTGGTTTGTTTACCCAGGAGTCGAACAGAACCGGTACCAGAACTATCAGAAACAACTGTCTGCTACAGCAGCTGCTAGCTTAGCACAGTTAGCTCGGGTAAACGGACCGAACCGAACCGGAGACCAGCTTGTCCTCCACCATGGGAGCCCATCGCAGCGAAGGAGGCCGGGACTGGCTGGACCAGGACGGAACCGAACAGCCGGTCCAGAACCCGGTGAGAACTACAGCTAATTATGTGGCTAACAGTTAGCTCGGCTCAGGCGAACCGAACCGAACCGAACCGGGCTATTTTTCATGTTCTGTATTTTACCGTGAAGTTGTTGTAGGGTCCAGGTTCAGGGTCTCACTGGGTCTGTGGTTCTGGTTCTGTATGCAGGTCCAGTTTGTGTCTGTGGTTCTGTTTCTGTATGCAGGCCCAGTTTGTGTATGTGGTTCTGGTTTTGGTTCAGTTCTTGATGTTCTGTGTACAGAAGCCGTGGAACCTGATGATCAAACATCGACACGTTCAGAGACGAGGACGCCGCTCACACACCACTGTCAGGTTAGTGCTGGGTCCACTGGTCCTGATGGGTCCACTGGTCCTGATGGGTCCACTGGTCCTGATGGGTCCACTGGTCCTGATGGGTCCACTGGTTCTGATGGGTCCACTGGTCCTGATGGGTCCACTGGTTCTGATGGGTCCACTGGTCCTGATGGGTCCACTGGTCCTGATGGGTCCACTGGTTCTGTTGGGTCCACTGGTTCTGTTGGGTCCACTGGTTCTGATGGGTCCACTGGTCCTGATGGGTCCACTGGTCCTGATGGGTCCACTGGTTCTGTTGGGTCCACTGGTTCTGTTGGGT